GAGACAAATGTGTCAAAAGGAGAGCAATTTCATGGATCCAAACTTGTATTCCATTCTTTTTTTTTTTAAGGTTTTTATTGTGGATTGAGTGAAAGTTTTCAGGGCACATCATCGGTTTCACATTCAAACATTCATATACCTTGTTTCATTAGATTAATTTTTTTTTAAAAATTATTTTTCTTTTAAATTCAGTGATTGAAGGGCTGAGTTTATTCCTGAGCCTGGATTCAAACAAATCCCAATGCTATAAATCTAGATACCAGAAAGTCTCACATCCATATCAAGGCTCCAAGTCACAATCCTGGCAGCCTTCCCTTCCCCTCATGTCTGAGCTGGCTCCCTCTCAGTCTCCATTCATTCATTCAGCACAACATAACTGATGTGTCAGGTTCAATGTCAGGCACTGGGGATATGGAGATGGGTCCCTTCCACCCCCCTCACTCCTCTACTGCAGAGTTTCTTTCCCCTCTCCATCCCCCAGCTGTAGCCCCCTAGTTCTCCAGGACCCCAAGGGACTCCTGAGCCTCCAGAGCATTTTGAATTCTGGAGGCTGCATGCGGCTGACTACACTGGTGCCTGTGGGTGGAGGGGAGAGTCCACCCCTGTCCTTCCTATGCCGGGCAGGAACAGACAGCCTGTTTGGTTCCATGCTCAACAGCTAACCTCCTTTCCTGCCCCTTTCTTACCACCAGACCCAAAGCCTGCCTTCTTTTAGCTCCTGGAGGAAAATGGCCTTTCTTCTACTCTGCTAATGTGCTCTGTGTCTTGTCAATTTATACACAGAACACCAAATCCTATGAGGACCTGAAGGAGGAACTTGGAAACTCTGAGGACTGGGGCTACGTTACTACCGTGAGTATAGGGCAGTGGGGCTGACCCTGGCCTTCTCTTCAACACCTCCTGGTTGCTGGCTGTACGATGGCCAGCTGACAGTCAGAAAGCTCAAGAAAAGGCAAGATCTTACTGTTTCCCTCAGCTTCTTATAGAAGTTCTTCCTGTTTAATTTCAATGCTTCTAGTTGTTGTATCTCCTTCATTCCCTAGTGAAATGGTTCTCAAATTTCAACATGCTAGGAGTTTGGGACTCATGGTGTGGTGCTGTAGGATAAGTTCCTCATCAAAAGGTTGGCGGTTCAAACCTACCGTCTATGCCTTGGAAACTCTATACGAGGTCGCTATGAGACAGAACCAACTCGATGGCACTTAACAACAACGAGTCTGGGCAAAGGGGTGCAGGAGTTGGGAAGCCTATTAAAATGCAGATTCTGAGGTCTGCTTCCAAAGATTCTAGTTTGTAGAATTGGATTGGGACCCAGTAACCTGCATAATTTTAACAAAGGACCCAGGTAATTTGATACAGTTAGTCTGTGGACTGTACATTGGGAAAAAAATATTTCTGTTTACCCTACCAATCTTGGGATCTCTTCTCTAAGTAGGAAAACTGCAGTATCTTCACTTTTTCAATTAGTTGACAGAAAGAGATTTTGTTCACAGACCTCTAGCCTGGGATATGGAAATATGAAATCAAAGCCTTTCTTTCAAGAGTTCACAGGTTTACAGGGGAGAAACAAGAGAGCAGATGATGCAGAAATAGCTGCAGGAACCCAAAAGCAATTTCACAAGCAGACTGCGGTAATCAACAGCTAGCACACACTTCCACCCACCTGCAGACTGAGGCTACCTGGTGGCCCTCGATAAATCCTTCTTAGTAGACTATCTTAGAAGGTTGATAGGAATAAACTAGGCAAGACTAAGTGAATTTACAGACTCCTGGTGTGGCGCTGTAGGATCAGCACTGGACTGTGAACTGCAAGGTCACACTGAGTCGGAACCAACTTGACAACACTTAACAACATGTGAATTTACAGGAGACCTGGTGGTTCTGTGGTTAAGCACTCAAACCAAAAGTTCCTCAGCTCCCACAGCAGCTATGTGGGAGAAAGGATCCGGTGGGATCTGCTCCCACAATGACTGCAGCCCAGGAAGCCTCATGGGGCAGTCTACTCTGTAAGTTCAAATCCACTTGATAGCCCAAGTGAACTTACAGCAGATGTAGGTGAGAGAGGGTCACAAATGGTCAAGGATGATCCTGACCATCTGGGTGAAGCCATGGAGAAGGTAGGGTATTGAACAAAAGAGCCATCTCACACCAGTTGGCTTTGGGTGGGTAAAGACCACTTAGCTTTTAGCATATGGGCCCAATCCAAATGTGTCTTGTTATGAAGAGTATGTGCAGGGAGTGGAATCCAGAGGTGCCCTACAACCAATGCTGACATCAGAGAGAGGCAGCCTGGGAGGGAATGACAAAGACACTGAAGTAACCAGTGGTATCCTTTTCTTCCCTAGGAGATCATCAGCCCCCAACTTGATGTGTTCACTACTAATACCAACTTCAGTTCTGGGCCTCTCTCCATCTTCCCCCTGGAGGAGCTGATAAACAAGTCGGTGGAGGAGCTTCCTGAGGGTGTAGACCCCAGCAGGAAGGAGGTGGGTCGGACAAGAAGATAGGGTTTGCTTCTTTGTTGAACAACCCAGTTGACCCCACCCACCCATCCACCTCTTGTGCCCTGTGGAAGAGGAGGTGTCCGAGGGATGTATGTCCTGGGAACAACACAGACAGGTCCCCTGTATTGTCCCAGCAGGAAGAAGGATCAAAGACTACTTATACTAATGTTTGATTTCAGTGGCAGTAGAGGCCACAGAGGTGAAGTTCAGGTGCCAACAAGACTATTTCAAACAGGGCCTGCTGGGATCAAATTTTTCCTTCTGAACGATGCATAGAAACTATTCAAGCAACGTGTATATGGTGGGTGCAGGTTATTCCTGGACAAGGATCTGTGTACGTGGGGTTCGGAGGAGGGACTAGTGCTGTGTGTGGTGAAAGAGGTGGCCAGAGCCACGCAGAGGCAGTGGGTGAGGCAGGCAGGGGCCTTCTGCACCACGCTGAGGGATTGCGTTCTGTCTCCTAAAAGTGGAAGGAAGCCATTGTGGCTTGAAGCACAGGAATGTCGGTCAGATTTGCATTTTGAGCTCACTAGAAACTTCTCCTGAAGAATGGATCTTAGATGGCCAAACAGCCGTAGACCAGCTAGGAGAGCCATGCAACGGGTCAGGCTGGGAAATGAATGGGAGCCCCGGCTTGGTGGGAAATATTTAGGTCAAATCCAGGACATTTGCTAACTACTGGATAAAGGGAGTGTGAGGAGGGAGAAGTTGTTGTTCTCTGAGATACAAAACCCTGGGTCAGACTGAACTGAACCTACTGCTGTCAGTCAGATTCTGACTCATGGCAACTAAGGGGCACACATGCTTTGTGCTGAAGGATAAGCACTGGACTGCTCACTGTAAGGCTGGTGGCTCAAGTGCACCAGCTGCTCCTTGGAAATCCTCTACAGGGTCGCTATGAGTCAAAACCAACTCAATAACATGTAACAACTAACTGCAGTTGGAACATGCTCGACAGTGCTGCAGAAGAAAGTCCTGGCAGTCTGCTTCCAAACCCTATGGGAGTCGTTCTATTCTGTAACACGTGGGGCTACCATCAGACTGAACACAGGCTGGGACAATCATGACTTTTAGTGGCGACCCTGTGGTCAAAATACGAGGGGCTTCAAAACATATGGAAAAATTCCATTATCTTTTAATTCTATATTTTGATGAACCTTTTGGAAGCCTCCTCATTCATATTTAGTAAGCAGTCAGACTTTTTGAGTCTGTCTGGGTTTGGCCTCACTAGGCACTTGCATCCTGTACTTTACCTTGGAGAAGTGCTTTCTTGCACATTCTCTTTCAGACCCTCCCATCTATGAGGTGGCCGGGAGGCTAGAAGGTATCTGTGTCCTTACTGGAGTATTGAGTTGATCACAGTACAAGTGATAAGCTTAGCCCAGCCTCTAGTACACAGAAAGCTGTAGAAATCGAAGTAGTTATTCTTAGTCTCTATTCTACAACTAAGGAGCTCTGGTAGCGTAGTGGTTACGAATTGGGCTGTGAACCACAAGGTCAGCAGTTCGAAACTACCAGCTGTTCCGTGGGAGAAAGATGAGGCGTTCTGCCTCTGTAAAGATTTACAGCCTCGGAAACCCTGTACAGGGTGGCTATGAGTTGGAACCGACTCCACGGCACATAACAACAACATTCTACAACTGAAAAAAAAAAAAAAAAGAGGTCCAAAGAGGGGAAGTGACTTGCCAACTAGTGAGTAGCAAAGCCAGGTCCTCTAAGTCCCAATCTTACTATGACATAAAGAAAGGGTATCTAATGGGAAGGCGACCAGTGTCATTAACTAGATGGCACACAGGAGGCTGAAACGGGTGTTAATTCCAAATGTAACGCATAGAATCAAGACAAAAAAATCCATGTGGTCTTTTTTGAAGCAATCTTCTAACCTTAGGTTATTTTTCAAATCAGTCATCTGTTGCTGATTTTTTTTTTAATCATGGGAGTAGTATTAATTTTAATACTTTATTGCAATGACTGAAAGTTTACAGAGCAAATTTGTTTTCCAATAGTGTGCTTTCTTGGCATGTGAGAGGTTGGGAGAGGTCTTTGACCTCTCTGCCTTCTGCACATATGGAAGGTGAGCTGGTGACAAAGTGATTCTGGTGGGGGCCCTGGCTGCAGGCAGCAGCAGAGAGGGTAATCAGAGTGTTTGAGCACCAATGAATAAACCATCAGAAGTGGGTGTGGGCATGGGTGTGGCAGGTAATCAGCAGGACTAATGGAAAGATACAAGTCCAATGGGATGGGCTGGCCCTAATATCTAGCCCAAGGGGTCAGAGTCCAGCAGAGACAAAACTGAGGACTGGACTAGAGAGGATAGTGGGGGCCACGACAGGGATCTGGGACAGAGCAGCCACAGCTGTGGGCCAACAGCCTTGCGTTCCTGTAGCTCTTCCGCACTACTGGTGCTCAAACCACCCTCTGCTCTCTTCTCCCTAAACATGGTCTGCACCGCCCTGCCTTGAGGAGTGGGTAAGGTTCCCAGGTGCCTTGAGGAGAAAACCCTCCCAGACAGCAGACCAGTGTAATGACAGGGTGGAGAACAAAGGCCTCAAAACCATGGGGAGCTGGAAATCAATCAACAGATGTTTGGTGGTGGTTATGTGCATGGAGTCGGAACTGACTCATAGTGACCCTGTACAGGGTTTCCGAGGCTGTAAATCTTTACGGAAGCAGAAAGCCTCATCTTTCTCCTGCAGAACAGCTGGTAGTTTTGAACTGGTGACCTTAAGTTTCGCAGCCTGATTCGTAACCACTACGCTACCAGAGATTACAGCTGCTTAATTCAGGGCTCTCTTCTGGAGTCAATAAAACATTTCCTAGGACAAGCCCCCCTTAGTTAAGCATCATGACATTTAAAGGAAGCCCACCACCCTCACCCTAACCTGTCCCTACTTGGTGCCTCAGGGAGTAGAGATGAAGGCTAGGAGAAGCTGGTTTATAGCACCTTAGAGGTTGTGCTTCCTGGCATGTGCCTGGAAGGTGTCAGAATTGCAATGAATGTGATTTCAGTCAATCCCCTCATGTTATAGAAAAGTAGTAACCCCCAGTCATGACTCCCAAGCCAAGAGTTACAAGATAGAATTCTTTTATCTTATACTTCTAGTGTCTTGTGTGGCACTTGCAGGATAATGCACTGGACCGCAAAGTCAGTTTGAGCCACAAGATTGGTGGTTCAAAGCCACCAGTCACTTCTCGGAAACACTATACATGGTTGCTATGAGTCGGAACTGACTTGACAGCACTTAACACCATGCTTCTAAATCACACATAGCAAGGACCAGAGAAGCCAGGAAAGCTATTTGTTGAGATACTTTTCTACTCAAAATAGTTGGGCAAAAATCTTTCAATCTGTCCTTTGGACTTTCTAGCTTCTCCTTTGAGGACCCTATGCTCACCTCAGTTCTACCTTCTGCCTCCACCTCTAAGCAAAACTCAGAAAATAATCTGGCTGATACATTCCCAGGAGAATAGAGATGACTGATGAGGTTCAACATTTTGCCTTTTAAGTAGAACCATCCTGTAAGCTACAAAGGATTTAATTTCTATCAACTACAAGGACCATAAGGAGCTCTGGTAGCATAGTGGTTATAAAATCGGGCTGCTAGCCTCAAGGTCGGCAGTTTGAAACTACCAGCCATTCTGCAGTAGAAAGAAGAGGGTTTCTGCTTCTGTAAAGTTTTACAGCCTCAGAAACCCTGTGCAGGGTCACTGTGAGTCGGAACCGACTCCACAGTACTTAACAACAAACACCATTAGTGTGCTTGGCAGTCAGGGAGGGAAAGATGCTAAGAAGTCTTTCTAGAATGGTTGAATTCACACCTGGAGGGTAGAGTCAGCGTGATGCAGTGGGACAAGGATGAGATTTGGAATCAGAACTTTAAATATCAGCTTCATCACTTGAAAATGGAATATTCAAGTGTGTGTGTCTGTAAATGCTACAGCAGAATATGTAGGTTAGACTGCCGCTTGCTCTGCCCACTAGGGAAATGACAAACCCTATTTCCCTGGTAGCTGATAATTTGAACCAAAGCAAGGTAGGGTCCAAGAGGGAGAGCCATTTCCCAGTGATGGGCTCTTGCTAGAAAAGCCAGTCTTCTCTGATAACGGCAACTTAGTCTTACATATCCAGACTCTGGTCAATTCCCATCTGTATACTGTTTTACTTCTGCAGTTCAATACTAAGACAAGACAAATGAATACTTTGAGTGCCTTTTCATAATATGGTTGCCTTTTTTTCAACCTCTGAAAAGCTTATAAAGTTGGCCTTAAGAGATTTTTATTTTATAGAGAAAAACTAAGCTCTTGAAAGGGAAGAAACTTCCTACGCAAGCTAAGCCAAATGTCTTATTTTGGGGCTCATGTGAACTTGACCGTGGCCAAAGGAAAAGGAACTCAGGCTAACATGTCCTTTCCATTGTGTTCCAAAGCAATCATTTAGGGACCAAACTTTGGGACCACAAATGCTGCCCTTGTCCTTACAGTCCCTCTCCTTGCACTCTTGACCTTGTCTGCTTTTCCTTTTACTTGCTTTGTATGTCAAACCTACCTGGCTTGTCCAGGACTCCCTGGCTGGTGCACATGACCAGCTCCGCAGCTAACCTCAAGATCTGAGTCTACTCAGAGGTACCTCAAAAGGCCTTATCTGCTTCTGAGAAACCAGCCATTTAAACCCCACTGGAGTAGGTTTAGTCTGACACACATGAAGTGGCCAGGAGTCAGAATCAACTCACTGGCAAAGGACTTACGACTCAGCAGAATAAACCCTGGTTGAGAATTTGACCTTTGTTCTCTGGTCCCTCTCTGCTTCTAGGAGCACCTGTCCACTGAGGATTTCACAAAGGTCTTGGGGATGACTCCAGCTGCCTTCTCTGCCCTACCTCGGTGGAAGCAACAAAACCTCAAGAAAGAAAAAGGACTATTTTGAAAAGCAAGACTAGCTGAGGTTGTAAAGCACTACCCTACCTTGCTTGTGGGGCCCTATTGTTTTTATGCCTGGAAGAATCCTCTGCCAACTGAAGTGAAAATGTAGAGCAGAGCTTGGGACCCCATCACCTGTTCATAACCTAGACTATGCCTCCAGAAAGGCCCTGTGATCCCAATTCCAACTCACCAAGTGGTTGGACTATTTCTATCCTAAGTAACATGATTTTGAATCATCCTGCTCTCCAGAGCTTTTGTTTCTTAGCAGAAGAGCTGGTCACTCCACAGCAGAGTTTAAGCCACCCCTGTTGCTCACAATCACAACTTATTTTCATCAAAGCAGCTGGGCTGAGGCATTTCCTTTTTACACCTACTTACTTCCCTTACTACCTTCCCCAGGTTTGGCCTTCTTTCAAGCAGCCCAGTGGCCTAGATCTCCTACTAGACTTTACAATACATACTAACCAGTACCTTGTCAATGCAGCATATCCTTAGGGTCTAGGCTTGACTTATGAAATGCAAATGCTACTGTGTTCCCTCCTAGCAAGGCAGAGTTTACATTGTACAGACTGCTACCCAGAAGCCTCTGCAAAGCTCAGTCTCCTCAGGTGAAAACAACAGGGACTCCATGGTAATTCCAGCCCTACAATGGTTTGACATTCTATATCCTTGAAAGTGTACAGTGCTGCGCAGAGGTAGGGTCAGAAGGTGAACAGATTTCCAACAGCTTGAACAACTAGCTTTTTAAAGTGTCTGCAAGAATGCGTCCTTTTCAGTAATGACAGTCAAACCAACAGGTTAATAAAGGCTTTAATTTTACACACAAAAACTCTATGCATAATTTAAAAAGGAAACAAAAACAAGGAAAAACCGTCAAGGATACAGAAGAATAGTTCTGCTAAAACACAGATAAAGTGCTGCTCCATACAAAACATAAAGAATCAGAATCAAAAGTCACTCTGAACACAAAGAAAAACCACTTCACATATGCGTCCAAAGCTGCCAGCCAAGCTGCTAACAGCTCCATTACACAAAATGTAGGCATTCCACTCTGTTCTCTTCCCTGTAGGCATAAACAAACAACAGTGTCAATGGGCCAGAGAGTTGGGGCGGGAAAGCTGGGAAAGAGGTGTGCAAACCCCATGTGGTCTTACTTTTCAGACAGGCCCACTCTGCTCTTGAAATAGAGCAGTTCACAGTTGCTCTTCCGTGTTCTGGCACTGAACCCCCCTCTGACAAAACTGGGTCGTGATCCAGATGGTCATGCACTCTTAGGCCAGTGGAGGTACCTATGTTCCCAAACCTCTGTATTTAGACAAGTCCCATGTTATGAAGACCAGCTGCTTAGGTCCACATAGGCACATTTCTGATTAAACACTTAAAACCTCAGACACATGGCACACATGGAAAGTGACCAATTTACCAATTGTGCATAAATAGGACACAAGAAAAGAGATGGCCTGAAGTCCAGGAAATGAAGCATGCCATTAAGGATTGTTGACTGCAGTGAGACACAGGAAAATAATTCTCAAGCTCCAATAAGCTAGAGCTCCCCAACAATATGCATATTTCCATTTATTAAGACGTCAATTGAGGCAAAAATCAGAATTGTGAAGTAATGCATTAGAAAGATGTTGGAAGGCAGAATCTGTTCACTTTTGGTACACACTTGTAATAGAACACTACTCAGGGTAAAGGACAAAAAGGAGGACAAGAACAGATCTGTTGTATTGGGAATTTTTATGCAGTAATTCTTTTTCTAAAAATTTCCTCATACAGGAGATCTAGTTCTGTTTCCCTTATTTAAAGAAAAGACCACATAAGGGGTCAATGAACTCAAACAGGGAAAAACAAAGGTTGGGAACTAACCAAGAACATCCATTGAAGTTGTTTCAGAGGACAGGGGAAAACGAGGGGACGGGTATCTTTTGTTTTCAAATAATCTTTCAGTAAATATTACGAGTTTATATACTACCTTTTCTCTGTCTCTCCCAAATGCCCTCTGTACACCCAGAACACTCAACTATATATGTTTGAGACACTGCCAATAATCCTTAATTTAAGTGTCTCCAGGTAAGTTTCATTATACAATTCTATTTGTAGCTATACAGGAGTAGAGCTGTATTTATATAGTTACACAATGCAAACTGCAATATGGAAGATTAAGTACATTTGTGAACTATCTTGCTAACATTTTAATTCTTAAAACTTAGCTTTTGGAAAATTGTACACTTGATTAAGGAGAGAAATAAAGGTGTTGCCTTTGGAGTCAATTAACTGATATGTAATATTCTGCATACTTGTTAAAATGTAAACACATTTACATTTTGTTATGTCATTTATGTCTGAAATTAACAGACCTTGGTAAGTAAACAACGGTTAGAATCAAAACATAAACAATTCATTAGTTTGCTTCTAATTCTGTCCTGCTGAGACCAAACTTAAGAGTGTGGATTGATAAAAATTTTCTTAACCAAACAGCCTATCTTCTCAAAGGCTGACTAGAGTAATAATAGTATCTGGCCACAGTCAACTCTCCATATTATTAAGTAAAAAAAATTCCAATTAGCCCAAAAGGCTATGTGTAGAACCAAGTGCTGTCCAGTTCCAAGTCAGTGTCATTTAAAGTAATTTAACCACAAATTTGGTATTTTCTATGGGAAGATTAATTATTACACAGATTGCCTGGGACTCATAAACACTCTGTCCCTATCTAACTTGTCCCTTCCTGGCCTCAACATGCCAACTTCCCCATATCCCAGTTGTGGGCACACTGATCATAGTGCAAAAAATAATATATTATCTATTATTTAAAAATATATAGTCACCTCAAAACCACAAATGTCACCAATGTAGCTGAAATCTCCATTAACCTTTCACTGAAAGAAAACCACAAAACAACTGTAGTGAAAGGAGGGTAGTTATAGGACTGACGGGAAAGGGGAAGACTGACAAGGCCACAATGGACAGCTATCAAGGAAAACATGAGTATATGAGCAGTGGGATAGCTCATAGGCCACAGTAACTTCTTTCCAACTAACAAGTCCTTCCCCTAAGACAGGAAGACAAATCAAATCAGGTTTCTCAGTGAAGTGTACTTCTACAGTGTACACATATGCAAGCTACCAAAGCAGCAAGCAATTCCACAGGCTGCTTTGAGAGGGAAGCCAGGCTTATGGCATTATTTCTATTTATAATCACTTCCAACAATTTTTTAACAGCACCTCTCAGTGCTCTTGAATGTGGACTTGCAAGAGAAATGATACAGAGCTAAAGAATGTGATCACCATTTCACTCATTCATGAGGAAACCAGTTATTTTCAGGCAAAAAATACAACAAAGAGGATCCCTGGTGAGAATGCAACAAAACTTAAGAGATTTAAAAACAAATACTCCCTTCTGCTGTAATCTGTTTCTGCATATCTTACCACCATACCGAATGGGTCTGTTCCTAGGGTAATATGTGTGTAGATGGAGGAGGTAAAGCATTTCTCAGTAGTTCCTCAAAAATGCTGAGGTCATGTACAACTCAGAGATGCTAAATTTTAGAACAGGTTATTAGAACATAAAAGTTCTAGAGTGGGGCTGGAGTTCTCCTTAAGGAAACACGTCAAGGAAGATGTTGCATGCTCTTGTGTTGATGGATTCTGAAATGTTTTCTCCTCCTGAAAAACTGATGTGGTTCTGTTCCTATCTCAGAATTAAAGAGCAACCCCCTCATTTATAATGAAAACAAAACCAAAGGGAAAGACCGAAGATTTTCTTTTCTAATTAAAATCTGAGATTCAACTGGTATCTGGGTTCACAAAATTATTTTGTGGTCAGAATTTGATCTTCAAACTCATTCTTCATATAATTCCACAAGTTGCTGAACCTAGCTGATTATGTCAGCTAAGTGCCTAGTGTAGTACTACTGTATGTTGTTCTCTCATTTAGCTTCAGTTCAAAGCACCAAAAAAGACAAATATATTATGCACCTTTGTTATTTGTTAATTTTGGAGATTCCCTAAACCAGTGACATTTTAATCTCTACCCTGATTCAAGGGCAGAGCCAGACAGCAAATGGTTAAATGCTGAAGCTTTACCCTACAGTTTCTGTACTTAATTTCATCACACCTGCAGTGGGGCTTTCAGTTTTACAATAACACTCCTCTTGACCTCTTTTTGAGGGCAAGACAAACCAGCATTCTTCCCTATCTGGAAGCACCCTAACTCTCCCTTAAAACAGTTCGAATTGGGACATTATCCTCCCACCTCTTAACATTTTATTACTATCTGTTAGGGTAGCGTCTTTTTCATGGAAGAATGAGACAAAAGAAAATGAAGAGACTCTATCTTCATCATAATAATAGAGATGACATATGACAACCAAACGGTGTGAAGGAATCTCTTTACAAAAATGCAGTGTACAAGGAACACCAAACGTGGGGCCAGAACATATTGCAAAGCACCAACAATCCATTGTTTTGGGACTGCATGTAAACAGCAAAGGCATTACAAATCCATGAAATGATTAAATAATAACAACAACACAAAAATTAGCTCTTCAAGTCAGGTGACAGAAATTCCCCTCTCTTAGAGAGGACAAACCTGTCATTAGTGTAACATGGAGAGCTGACTTTCCAGTGAATTTTACCAATAAGAAACACATGAAAGAGTATAGTTTTGGGTGAAACTACTCAAGGAACATAAAAGCTCAGTCAACTGGTATGTGTGCCTCTTCACACATTTCCAAGGTGAATAGACTCTTTAATACCTTCATTTCTTCTCCAAACTGCTGTGCTATTAATTCTGAGCAGGTGACTTATCCCAACTCTTTAAGGCTCCATTCATTCCATATATGTGTGTGTGTGTGTGTGTGTGTGTGTGAATGTACACATATGCATTTACAACATGTATTCCTAGACCAATAGGAAGTGCCACTCTTGTAGGAGAAAAAAAAGAGTAATTAGCTACAGATGTGAGACCAAGATTTCCATAAGACAGTCAGCATGGAGCATTCAG